AATAAACATAAACGTAATGCAAGTTTAAGAAATTCTTTTAAATAAATTGAAAGAAAGTATCTCTCACTGTTTTTGCCCTATAACGTTTTTAAAAAAAATTTCTTGTAGATTTAATAAATTTGTAGTTTATCTACATTCCCTCGCCACAACAACGCCATTGTTTGTGTCTTCTAAATCTACAAGATGCTTCCGTTATATAACTTATCTTTGATACTCTTCTTACAAAATTTTGAATCACACAGCACGGAAGAACAATGTCATCTACTATCTCAACAGTCGTAGCAGTAGGTTGTCCATTCCTTAGTCATTCTTAAAATATATGAGTTTTCTAATGGGTAGTTCAATAAGTAGATGCATATATGAATAGATATGTAAGTTCTCCAGCCAAAGTTTTTTTCTTTTTCACCTTGTTCTTGAATATTTATTACTTTTTTAAAAAGAGTTGGTGCCATAATGAACAATTTAAACGGAACTAGTTGTACAACCAAACGCTTGAAACTTTTTCACGCCTGTGGGCCGTTTAAGTATTCTTCTGTAGTATATTTATATTGTTCTAATTTATTTGTCTTTATTCTAATTTATTGTCTATATTCTAATTTATTAAAACTCACGATAGCTAATTACTAATTTATTAAATAACTGTACAAATTTATTTACGTTCGATACATTTTAAAATCGCGGTTCCCGAGCTTCTTATGACTGACTGGTTAACAAATAAAAATGTGTCGTTTATATACAAAAACTTCCGCTATCTGGAAAGTTCGGCGACCTTCTACATTATAGTGGAACTCCATAGAATCATCTTGTATTTACGAGGCTCTCGTAGACAGAGCGGCAATGATCTAACAACTGGTATCGAAGCGGTTCCAGAAAACTCGTATTCGTCGCTGTTATAGCGAAGGGGAACCCAACGTGTCTCAGGTAGATTTTGACCTACAAATTACGAGAATCAATAAAAAAGAATTAGTCATAAAATATTTACAGTTCTATATGCCATAACATTTAAAATCGTAACACTTTTTTCCTGCGGAAGGTGTTTTGTGCAGTAGCAATGCAACAGCATCTCTTTGAATCAGTTTCTTTTAAATCCTTGGATCACATTATTGTTTATTTCATTGATGCTGATATCTTCTAAATATTGTGTAGCTAAACTAGTGTTAATGATTTTTTCATAGATACTGGAGAGCAAAATTAACCGGACACTCAGTTTTTTGTTGGTGTTTATATCAAAACTTGTTTAATCTGTTTGAATTGTATTTTATGCCTTATTAGCAATAACGTTTTTTTTTCTTGTTTATAGGTGTATATATGATATATAATAGGTCAAGGTAGACGAAGAACCACAAGTCAAGTTGAAGAACGCTTTTTTAAGTTACTAGAGTTTGCGATCGTATATTATCAGCACCAGTACTTGTTCAACGATTAAATGATGTCCATAGAAACACGTTTCCATTTGTACCGTTCGAACAGCAGATCATTAGAGGCAACGTTTATTGGAGTGCTGTGCTTTTCATGGATGAATCAAGATTTAACAGATACTCATCAGATGGGAGACATAAGATATGAAGAAGAGCTGGTGAACGTTATTACCAATGTTGTTTTACTCAGAAAGTTTAATTTTGTGGAGTTGGTACAATGGTGTGGACAGGTATTTCTCTAGAGGCTCATACAGAACTTGTTACAATTCAAGGGGGCAATTTGAATAATCAACGGTATATTCAGCAATATTTGGAAGATCACGTAGCATTTGCCCCATTTGTTGGAGAAAACTTTCGTCTGATGTAAGATAATACTCGTCCGCAAATCGCAAGAATAACACGGTATTACTTGGATAAAGTTGGGATTCGCTTATTACCGTGACCCCCAAGAAGTGCAGACTTAAATCCAATAGAGCATGCGTGGGATATTCTAAGACAACGTATTCGACGTAATCACGGTAAGTTTTAAAGCATGCATGATTTGGAGCAAGCAGTTCGTGACAAATGGCAGTAAATCCCTCAAGCAGACTTTATCCGAAGTATGCCTGATCGAATGAGAACCGTCTTTAGGGTTTGTGGGGGTAATACACTTTACTAAATATCGTTTTCCATAAGAATTATTTATATCTAAAAATAATAATTTTTGTTACTTTGCAGATTTAAAAATTTTTTTAATTGTTTATTGTTTTTTCTGAGTAATACTTTTGAGTTGTAATAAATTTGACTCTTAAAGTTTGTTTATTATTAAATACTCAATTGGGACATTTGAAGTTACATTTACATCTTAAACTTTTTTAAACGCCAATGTTTAGGAAAAATCTGAGTGTCCGGTTAATTTTGCACCCAGTGTAGTTCATTCGTCAGAGATTTGACCTCTAAAAATTATACGAACAAACTGAGTTTTGCTGAGAACGTCAATTTTGGGACTCCAAAAGTTTAGCACTTTTATCCCCGGTTGTGGGGGGGGATTAGGGGAAGTCAGGGTTAGGAGTGGTAAATTTTTTTGCATATTTTCTGGGGTCCAAAATTTGACATTATCACCAAATTTAACTTGTTCGTATAAATTTTAGAGGTTCGCTAGCACTTTCGTCTCTGAGGACTGGAGTATAAGTGTCCGGAAAAATATATCTTCCAATCTTCTTTTTAAGGATCTTGATAAATGTTTTCTTGAAGACTCATTCCTCTGAATTGAATGGAATACAAGGAGAAAAAAACAAAGTCAACTATTATAATATATTATTATTATTAAAATTCTGTAACCATTCAAGTAGATTATAACATACAGTAAATTTTTTTGAATTAACATTAAAAGCAAAAAAACATCGAATACAATAGTCATTTTAGTCTCTTTTACAAAAAGCTTAAAAATAAGTAAGAAAATATATACAGTTATTGCATTAAATATATGTACGTATATATTATAGTAAAATTATGGTCAACACTAACAAAATAAATCCACATTATTTAAATATTCTCTTTAAATACCTACATATACATATTTTGTCGATTTAACGTTTGCTTTTCAAATTCTAACAATACTACGTTCCCGTTGGACTTCACGTCCTACATCAGTGTTCAATAAATAACAAAATAAACTAAGCCACACAAAAGGGTAACAACTGTTACACATTTAAATAAATTTGTTCATCTACACGAAGTAAATAATATTGAATGTACTAATATGTATAAGAAATATCTCTTACAGATACTTCTAATATTAGCGTGTGTCACTTATGTACTCGCAAAATCAAATATTACAAAAACAGCACCTATGCTAGTTCCTCAAACACAAGTAGTGTTGGATTTTCTTGTTCTTTATTTCCTCTATCACTTTCCTTTCTTCCTCGATATTCTCGGTTTAGAAATAATTGTTTTAGTTCATGTTAAATTTCTTTAAAATAAATATTAAGCAAATTACAAAGTTAAAGCTTAGCAAATTGCAATTCCTTCATATATTTTTCTATAAAAGAATTGTTTTTTTAAAAGAACGGGATATTTGAAATGAATTATCCAGTGACGGATATGTCTTGTTTGGACAATCTATGTGCACATTGATCTGTAACTAAATCTGGCTTCTTTAAGAGCAGGATAGACTACTGGCCACAGTAATGCGTTAAAATCCCACTACAACTTTCCTTATGTAGCTGATTGATCAAATCGTCGGTCATTTTATTGCACAAGAAGCCGGAATTTCTGCAAAGAAGACATTAGAATCACTTTCCGACCATCCAGAAAGATTTCAGATTTTTTTCATATTCTAAAGTATTCATCCCAACCCCTCTCTTCCTGTCGTATATATTATACGTTCCTGTAGCCACGGATAGATTGGCCAAACTGATCACTCGGTTAAAAGCCGAATCAAAGATCATAAAAGATATTTTTGACACATAATACAGTGGCAGCAAACTGTCAATGACTGGATATTCAATATTGTTTGAAAATACTCATATTCTTTCTACAAGAGATCTTTGCACTTCTTTCAAAACACACCAAAAAGACTAGCAAAAAGATAGCAAGGTAACAGCAATTCTCACAAGACCAAAAACAGTAACAATGACCAATGATGCTAACAATTAGGTATATGAGAACCGTAGCAGAGTAATTTCAGCAGATTTACGTTTCATTAGTGGGTACGTTGAATAATTGAGTAACTATGAGTGAATTTTCCTTGGCAATTGGTTTTCGAATCTTGAAACGTTCAATATTAGAGTTACTACAACTGACATCTTGTCCTTTTCACGAAGTAATTCCATATTACTATAGCGAAATGCTACTAACTTTGCAACAATCCAGAAAATTTCTAAATATATGTGTTCTCGCAAAGGTCCACCACTGCTTCTCTCTTTCTCGTGGTGTATATTTCATGTTCCTATGGAAATGTAGGTATATATCAGTCAAACTTGGTACTCTAAAAAATTCGAATCAAATAGCATAAAAGATGCATTAAATTTGATATTTGAGTTGCTCCAAAAACAAAAAAAAAAAGAAGAAATCATGAAACAAAGATGTAAAAACTGTATACCTTTATAAATACATATCACAAAATACAGGTAAAGTTAAAATGATTACCAAACGATAATGAAACACATCAATGGATACTAAAAATGTATAAAAAGGCGAGTTATGTCCAAATAAGGCAGATATATGAAGATCTATACAAAAAATTTTTAATACTTGTATAAAAAACCAACAAAGAAAGTACTGAAGCGAAAAACAGTTATTTAGGAAAACCAACCAGACTAGAACTATTGAATAAGAATCAGAAAATAAAGAAGCTTTGTTTATATTTCCAACTAAAAGTATAAAATGTCTTTGATCGAGGGCCAGTAATTTGAAATACCCGTTCATTTACTTTACAAAATTTTGAACTCGTTTTTTTTTTTAATTATTAACAACAAACTCCAAAACAATATCGTTTCAACTCATAAAAATAAATATTAATGTGCTAGAGTGCCATTAATTTAATGAGTATTTGTTAATTCAGACTTTTAATATTAACAAAGGATTTAAATAATACACAAATTAAACTGGAGGTAAAGCCCATAAGGTCGCCGTCTTATCGGCAGATGTGGATAAGAACGAGAACTCTGCAGGATGCCAGCGGCCTGAGATTACTTTGTCTTGATGTTGAGCCACTACGACGCTAGGTAAAGGTAAAGTGAGGTCTCCTAAAACAAAAATTACGTTAAGTATTGGCAGTATTTGTAATAAGTAGGTCCATTACATTATTATACTTAATTTTAATATGTATTTATAAGGTTCCATAAATTTAAAAAATCAAATAGAAAATATTAAGACAAAAATCAAATCACCGACCAAAACAAATCGCAAACACCCTGTATATGATACTGTTTAGCATTAGTTGTAGAAAGTGTTTTTTTTTTTCGGAAAGTAAATTTTATACGTACAAAGACATTCCCAGAAAATAAGAAGACAATATGTTGGGTTTTCTAACAGTTTAGTTTTAAATAGTCATTTTTGTAAACAGTTATACCTTAAACTTTCTATTGTATGGATTACCAAGAATTAGACAATATGGTAGGTTTGTAAATAGTTTGTGAGAGGTAATTATCCTTTTTTCTCTAGAAATTTAAAAGTGTTTATTAGATGACCAACGGATTATTGGATAGGAGAAAGTTAGCCTTTTTTCTTTGAAGAAAGTCAAATTTGTTTGGATGGAGATACGTTCTGATTAGTTCAAGGAAAAGGAGGAAGGAGATGAAAGGATTTTGGATAGAGTTTTGCAAGAGAGAGGAAGACATTGTGAATTGAATATCGGACGAGTATAATATAGTTTTTTTTTGTGGAGACGACGTTGCTAATTAGACAAGTTTTCTTTTATTAAAGTCTAGATTGTGAAAAGTTGTATTTGTGTTTGGTGAAAAGAGTTCCAACTGTGGTAGCAGACAGAAAAATAACTGACATGCTGTAAGTAATAAACAGATGTATAGTTTTATACTGGACCAAGTCGATTAGTTGAGATATTCTTTGTGTCTGGAGAGGAGTAGTTTATTCACGTAGTAAAGATTTGGAGCAGAGGAGTTTAGCAGGAGTATTCTGGAGAAACTGAAAGATACGAGCAAGGTGGACAAGGCACAATCAAAGGAGAGAGACGTGAAGCCATCACTTGTGGGAACAAAAGGTTAGTTTCGTCATTTTTAGAAACAAAGACTTTCAATCACGACCACCTATTTAAATTAGGGTTATTCGTTTTTTTTTGTTGGTTTTATTGAGAATTATAATACATGATAATTTATCGGGAGTCACGAAAATTAAGAAATTTTAGAATTGCATATAAGCTTAATTAATTTGTATTGATAACGGTGGATGTATGATTTGATGGATGTTTGAGATTTTTATTCTAATCATTGTATATGGTATATTTATGTTTATTCAAAATTTTTACTTTTAATATTTGATTGTTTTTTTTTTTTAATATAACATTTGCTTTGTAAGTCATAATTGTGCTGTAATTTTATTTCCCTATTGTCTATCCTTTGTTTTCCTCAAAGGCAACTAGCAAAAAATACTTTGAAGCCACGTTTTGTTTTTAATAAGTAAAGAGCCCTGAGATATCATATTAATTTGTTAAAAAATAAATATTATAAACGTACAGTTTGAGCAAATCACAACAGTATATGATTGAATTTTTAATGGCTATATAATTACATTATTTGTATATTATATATAGACATAATAAAGTATTTAAAACAAAAGCTGTTTGCGAACTTAAAAAGCACTCATATATTATATAGGAAACTATTATAGAAAGTATAGACAGAGTAAATTAATTTCGTTTTATTTGTGGGTTTGCTTTTGGAAATGACGTTTGATATCCTTTGCCATAAATTCTCAATGGGATTGAGGTCCGAGGATTGCGCTGGCCAGTCTATCCTATCAATTTCATTACTCTCCATCCAAGCTTTAACCAATTTTGCTCTATGACAAGAAACACTATCATCATGAAAATTAAATTTTTCTTCGTCAAACAGGTCTTTTCCACTACGCAGCATCTTATTCTATAGTACCTCAATGTATTTGGTAGCATTCATCATCTCAGAGACAACGTGTAGGTGACCAACTCCTCGAGCGGATATGCAACCCCATATCATAACGGATTTTAGATGTTTAATTGTGGGAAGAACACATTTTGGAGAAAATTCTTCACCAGAAAATCTTCTGACGTAGGCATTTCCAGCATGATAATTATTATTGAAAGTGCATCCATCCAGTGCCGGATTAACACTTTTGCCGCCCATGGGCCAGAGGTCTGCCTGCCGCCCTAGCGGGGGTGCAACACCGGGGGGGGGGGGGGTCCGGGCCCCCCCCCCCGAAAAAAATTGAAATTTAGAGGCAAAATAACGCATTTTGGGACATTTTCCAGCGCTCAACTGTCTCTTGATATTGTAATGGTTTTAGTACCTCTCATGATGAAAACAAGAAACTATGTCCTAAAATTGCGTTTTATTAATTAAAATAAACTATTTGACAAAACTCCGTTAATTACGAAACCATTTTCTACAACCGTGATATTCCATTACTTAAGATTACAATAATAGTAAATAAAATCGTTGTTGATATTATTTTGTGAAACATCATGCAGCTCGTAATTCCCAAACTCAACAATTCTTTTATAGTTTTATGACTATTTTGGCTGAGAATGATTGATTTGGAGTGAAGTGAAAATTCGGCTTCGTTACTCGGCGACGGCTCACCTGTGAATGTGCCCGCAGGCTTTGAGCCATAATCGGTCATTGCTGTCGATTTATGGGCAAAAACAGGACAGTTAGGAAGGGGCTAAAATTAGTAAAAGGTGTACAGAGTAAGACTGCAAAATAAATGATAATTTCTGTATTGAATATAGGATAATAACAAATATATACAACATCGAAATATAACTGTTCAGAGCATACAAATCACATATCCAAACAAATAACTTACTCACTAAATTAGCTTTGTTAAAGTAAATATAACTTAAAACTTCTTCTTTCTTGCACGTGCATTGGAAAAATCATCAACAACTGCACTGAAATCGAGTTTTGTTGTCAGTTCATGTTCTATGGCTAAAACAGCCAGGCTGACGAGTCGTTCTTGAGTCACTGTTGAACGCAGATAGTTTTTTACTCTTTTCAAGGTCGAAAACGATCTCTCAGCAGAACAGTTTGTAGCAGGAGTTGTCAAAAACATTTTCAAACCAATAGCCACGTTGGGAAACAAGTCCTGTAGATTTTTTTCTATCAAAAATCTGTACAAGTTTGATAGTGAAAAGTCTTTTTCGGCTTCTTTGTAGTTTCCTCGGATCAGAAGTCCTTTCAGATGGATGCACTCGCATATAAACTCTGACTCTTCAATGTCTTCAATATAGATTTTCTGCAAAGACGTCGCGTTAGCAGTAATTTCTTCGGTAGTTAGAGTCTTTAATTTTGTTAGAAATGAAAACTTTGCAACGAAGTCTGTGTACACAGAGATCCTTTTGTCTAACTGAAACTGAAGTGTTTCCACGATGATGTCATAACTTTGTTGAAGACAATTTCCCCTAATGTCATCATCCTCATCATAAGTTCTTTCTTCATCTTCTTCTGAAGATTCATCAAAGAACCTCTTTCTTTTCGCCTTTCTTTTTGGGCGATCAAAATCTTGCTGCACCTGCGGCTGCGTCTCTTGTGGAAGTTCTGGCTCATCGTTCTGTCTCATTTCACCTTGCGCAATTTGCAGTTTTTTTTCGCCCTCTTTCTTATAGTGGGTAAACATGTCTTTCATGTTCATCACATACTCTGTGAGTGAGTTGTACAGGATTACAACGCTGTCCACGGTCATATTTTCAGCCTGGATCTTTTCACTGACTGAATTAAATTTTTGAAGTACATCTCCCCAAAGGGCTGCCATGAAACATGTTTCTAGAGACATTAGTTTTCGCAACAACCCTTTGGCTTTGGATTGTGTCTGTTTGTTTTCATGATTGCTTGAAGTCATGTCTATCAGCGTCTTGACCATGGGTTTGTAGTCTTTATTAAGGCTTTTGCAAGCTTCTTCCCTTGCAGACCATCTTGTAACACTGAGAGACTTCAACGACGTGTTCTTGTCCTTTCCTGTGGCCGTGAAATTTGACAGAAGAAGATTCCACCTGTGCGTAGAAGACGAGAAAAAATTGTACAATCCTTGCAAGAGATCAAAGAAATGTTTTGCAAGAGAACAGCATTCTGCTGCGCTTGATCCCACTAAATTTAGTGAATGCGCTGAACAAGGCACATAAAATATCAAGGGATTCTTTTCTTTAAGTCTTGCCTGCAACCCCGAGTACATTCCTGACATATTTGACGCGTTGTCATAGGACTGTCCCCTACAGTTTTGTATGTCCAATCCTTTCGACTGTAGGAAAGAAAGCACTGAGTTCACTAGTTCTTCACCTGTATGACCTTGATTTTTCATAAATTCAACAAAATGTTCTTCAGGGATTCCCAATTCATTCACATACCTTAATATGAAAGACAATTGATCAATGTGTGTTACATCAGGGGTGGAATCTACTATTATAGAATAGTACTTGCTTTTCTTAGCATCATTCAAAATTGTATCAATAACGGTTTTTGCCATTATTTCGATGAGTTCTTCACAAATGGTTGATGATAGGTATGACTGATTGCCTTTACCCGCTTTCCCATATTTTTCAATGTGTGCTTTCAAAAATGGATCAAATTCGGCAATCAGCTCCAAGCACATCATATAGTTGCCATTTGAAAAAGAACCAAATTTTTCGTCAGTCCCCCTAAAGGCAAGACCACGCGAGGCAAGTTTTTTTATTACGGCCACCACTCTCTGGAGAACTGCCTTCCAATACCTTATTTCTTCTTCCACTTGGTTTTGTAGAAGCTTATCGATCCTCCCGGCTGCTTCTGCTCTTTGTTTGTATACTATTACACTATTGTAGTGAACGTGCGAGTTTTCATGCTCTTTTATTCTCGCTGATGCATGTTTCCAATCACTGAACCCATTTTCAGTAAACTGAGTAGAGGTCGAACTAAACAATTTGCATGGACCACAGAACAAAGAGCCTAAACTTGGTGAGTAAATCAAGAAATCTCTATTTACAATTTCGCCATTTGCAAGTTTTCTGTCGAATAGCCATTTAGCCAACACTCTTTTCCTGTCTGGATATTGCCTTTCAGATTTTTTAAAATCGCAATCTTTATTTTGATTCCATCCATTTTTAACAAAATATTCCCGCGTCTCTTCATTCACTATCCATAAAGCAGGATCATAATTTGGTTTCAAATGGACAGAAGAGTCAGGTTCAGAGACTGTTAATTGATCTTCAATCTCGTCAACAACAAAAGTTAATTCGGATATAGCTGGTTTGATCTTGTCAGTATCAACACATGACGAAGCTGAAGGTGCTGATGCTGAAGGGGTTGAGGGTGAAGCTGAAGGGGTTGATGCTGAAGCTGAAGGGGTTGATGTTGAAACCGGAGGGGCTGATGCTGAAGCTAAAGGGGTTGATGTTGAAGCTGAAGGGGCTAATGCTGAAGCTGGAGGGGTTGATGTTAAAGCTGAAGGCACTGATGCTGAAGCTGTTGAAGCTGAAGGCGTTAATATGGAACATACTTCTAGTTCTACTTCACAAAATTCTTTGACACTTTCTAAAAGCACTGGTTCTGGTGGCACTGGTAGGTTACTTCTTGTAAAAAATGTATCAAGCTTCGCAGTTTTATTTACAACTTCTGTCAATTTTTTTTTCTTCTCTTCGGCTACTTTTTTGTATTGCCACCCACTGAGCCGTTTGCGTCCATCCATTTGTACAGCTGCTTGTTATAGCATCAATGACATCGGAAGTAAAGGTCTGACTGTAAAAAAAAGAATATCTGTATAATTCAAAACTGTAGTACGATACGACAGGAAAAATGAAGCGAAAAAATGAGGGAAGCGAATTTCCTTCCATTACTTATTCAACTCATTGTGAAACCTATACGTATGGCAACATGCCGAATTACATTGCTTCTCTTACTACCACAAAGTAAAATGGCGAAATATGCAAAATTAAATAGCCACAAAATTTGACAACTTACGGCCTTACGGCCTACACAGCACAGCTCTCACCGTCTCACTACTCCTTACACCAGTGCTAACTGCTGCTGCATAAACTTATCTGAACCTTTAGATGTAAGATCTATATTAACTTACATTACCATTACTATAAACAAATAAATATTTCTTACCTCACAAGTTACAATTTCAAAATGTTACTCCGCTCAAAACAAATTACAAAAACGTTAAACCTAAACAGTTAGACAGACTGCAGTACGTGGAGTTGAGACCAGACAACCGAATGACAATGGCGCGTGGCGGTGATGGAGTTGGTGGGGGGAGGGAAGCGGCAAGGCGACAAGACGCCTGCCATCAGCCAATGCTAGCAACTACTACGATCCCACAACTAAATTTCCCGTGCGTAGCGTACGATACAGACTGCCGCCTCGCCCCTTCGACTCACTTGGATAGAGTGGCGTAGCGTAGTGTACTGCGACACATTACACCGCGCAGAGTGTCGCGTTATAAATAAATAATAAACAATAAAATAGTTTTTTAATATTTAATGCTCAGGTTCACTGGTCTTGATAATCGATAATAAAGCTTTATAATCAATCAAAAATAATTACACTTTTTTTTTCTCAAATCCGCCGCCCCAAAATTTTGCCGCCCTGGGCCGCGGCCCAGTTGGCCCGTGCCTTAATCCGGCCCTGCATCCATCACTAAACAGTACACTCTGCTACTGCTCTGTTCTCCAGATTCGATGTTTCCTTGGCCCATTTCAAACGGTGCAATCTTTGTTTTTCTGAAAGCAGAGGTTTCTTCCGTGCCGTACATCCTCTAAGTCCAAAAACTAAGCAGTCTTTTTCTCACAGTAGAGGTGCACACGCTTACACCTGTACATTCAGACCACAGCTTCGTCAATTGGGGTGGAATTAAGGCTTCTGCCTGCCAAACTTGTGTTTCTTAATGCAGCGTCATCCCGAACAGAAGTTAACTTTGGTCGGCCACTACGCATTTGTTGTGGATTTTTCTTATTCAGCATACTTCTTAATGACTCTAATTACTGTAGATTGATTACAGTTTACTGCGGATGCTATTTCGCGACTAGATTTGTCGTTTTTATGGTGAAAATGTACAGTAGACTAAAGCGAAGCTTTATACTATGTTTTATGGATTAAAAAATCCTTTCAGCCCATTTGATTCAAAGCAAACAAACAAACCAAATATGAATAACCCAGCTAATTATATTTCTTCGTTTGTTTCCAAACATTTGTTTTTAGTTATACTTAATAGAAGGGACAATATTTGTGATTTTAATACTAATCATGACTAAATAGTACCTTGTAAATCTGTCAGCACCAATTTGTTGTCGTACCCAGCAGACAGCAGGTAATAAGCCGATGGAGAAAATCTAATTGATCTGACGTCGGAGGAATGAGGCTTGAAACACTGCACATTTCTTCCGCCTCTGATATCGTATAATACGCAGGAGCTGTCTTCATGTCCTGAAACGAGAAGTCGACCAGAAGGATCCACACAAAGAGTAGAAACCTAAAAAAATATGGATGATTAATTTAAAACATATATAAAATTTTTAAGTGATCAATTTTTTAAATGGACTTCGTAAATTATTGCTCTTTAGTGCAAAATGTGGTCATTTTCGCCATTTCAGAAATTTTGAACAGCGAGAATTTGAATCAAATCTCCGACAGTCTTCATAATTTTCAGTAGATGCTTTTGAAATGCTTTTCGCATTCAAATTTGGAAGCGCTCAATACATCCAAAAATCTTCTGTAAACTTTGTCGTCACAAGCAACGTTAGGTTAACATGTCAAATGTCAAATCGTTGTTTCTACCTATCAAACGTCACCTGTCAAGTCGTTTTCTCCTCTGTCTAACAAATCATAGTCTGTTCGTATTTAATGTTTTCGTTCAGCAGTCAATCCGTTAGATATTCATGCCGTCTTTTGGCATATCAAGATATATTTTAAAATGCAGTCTATGTCATTCCAGATATATTTAGATGTTCCTTTAAATATCATCGTTATCTATATCTTTATGTGAACGTAGTTACAAATTCTGAAGTCAGTGAATAACGACACACATCAAGCAAAGTGTTGTAATTTTGTTATTTAGAAATCAACTCATCACTCACATTATCTTTAAAATACTCATGCGATTATTTTATATACTTACCGGTGCACCTTGTCTACTACCCGGTACCGTAATTGGGGTCACAACGTTGACACAACCTCTTGTTCTGAGATCCCAAAAACGGACTGTCTTGTCATGAGAACCACTTACAAACATAGCACCTCCCCATGTGTATAGGGATAAAATGTGACCTGGAAAAAATAAAATTGGTATGTATATAGCTAGGCAAAATAAATGTCAAGATAATCAGTATATTTTTAGTGTCTTTCGCATAAAAATCAAGAAGGTAGAGATAGTGCCATTCCTGACCACAGCGCAGTAGTCGAAATTTGGTTTAGTCCCCACTTCCATGCGAAACGCATTGTACTGTGCGCTGTATAATTCCACTTAAAATAGAACCTTTCGGTCTTTACGTGAATTTTGACTTCGCCTTCGCGCAGCTCCATGATCAGAAGTGTTTGAACTATCTTTACATACAATGATAATATACAAGAACTTACAGTATTTAAAGTTGTAAAGGCCCCCGTTAAGGAAGGCAAAATGCCCTCATCCCTAGAATTTATTTAATTTTCTTCAAAAACGTTATTTTTAATTTTTTTTTATTTCTTTTGGCGGGTTGCAATCAATTTAAAAATTTCAAAAAATTCACAGGCTCAGTTGAGACTTTTACACAACATAGACCCGTAAGTTAAGTACATAACCTAAAAAAGTTTTTTTTTTTCGAAAAAGCATAAGGTAACATTTTTTTTTGAGATGGCTGCAGGTCTATTTTTTTATTTGTGCATTTAATAAAAAAATATATGTCTAATTTTTTATAGACTTTTATAGACTTCAAATAAATCAAATCAAGTTTTTTATGGGTTATATATAATTTGAATTAACTGATACCTTTTAGACATTCAAAAATTGGCGAAATATCTTTAAACTGCCCAAAACCCTTGTTTTTGAGGGTTTTTAATGGCTTTTGTGGGGTTCTGAGCGCAATTTATGCGAAAAATAATATTTCAAGTGTTATACGGGGGTTATTTTCAAGAACTGAAATATATCTATTTAGAATGTGACTCTAGAAATAAAATTCGTGATAACATGAAAGTAATTATTGACTTTTAAAAACAATAATATATTGTAAGAGAGACGTTTACAAAAGAATAATATGAGAATTCGTTACCTTAAAAATTATTCGCAAGTACTATAAAAATAACTGATTTTCAAAATTGTAACTTAAAAGAACATATTCCAGACAAATGTTTAGAAATCTTAAAACAGAACTTACCAGTGTGTCCGCTAAGAGCCTGGAATGGGGTTCCAGTAGCACAATCAGTAACATAAATCTTACAATCTCCAGCACCACCGCTGATTAATAGACTCGATTTATTGGATTGATCCTCTAAGAAACACAGATCTCTTATGGTGCCATCGTGCATGGTTAGCTCGATTTCGTCACCTTCCAAATTGTTGGTATCGGCGTTGAATCGCATCAGTTTGACTGTCTTGTCGTTGGATCCGGTAGCCATCAGGTCGCCGATTGGAGACCATGCTAGACAGTAGATGGAACCTTTGTGGTGTTTGGTTCGTTTGAAGAGCACTGTTGGCTGGTAGGTTTCGTGGTCTTCCCTAAAACATAATTTTTATAAAATAAGAGATCCATTCACAAAATAATCTATAACGAAATTAAGTGAAGAATGAAAAATGCATTACATATTTGAATACTATATTTTTAAGTTTTTTTTTTTTAATTTCAGTTTATTTCGGATTTGGCTTTCTCCAGCACATTTTTCTGAAAACTTTGCACAGGAAAATCAGAAAAATACAGCGTTTTGATAGTCACTGTATTTTTACCCCAATTAAAAAAAAAGATTCCGAACGGCCCTTTGGAACAAAGAATAATTTAACATTTTAAGTTTTAATACCTTAAATTACAAAACGATTTCTTTTAAAACAAACCCTTGGCAAAGCTGTAACGTAAAGAGATATTGTGCAATCCTATGGGAGAATAGTGGGGTAATATATTTTATATTAATAATATAGTTAACATTATGTATATTACCGTCAACAAAACTAGTTCTGTATACATTAATTCGTTTTTTACAACTTCTTATATAGCATATGTACGAAGTTTGTCTTTTTAGTTTTGCATATAGCCGCTTAGAGGGAGCCACCAATAGAATCTTCCAACACAAATAACCTCAATCTTTTATTGTCACAAACTAAGAATTTCATTGCAATACAATAAGTCGTGTAGATACAGTGATTTTTTGAAAGTAGCAAGTCGGTCGAAAAATGGATCTTAGCCGAGAACACTTTCGAGCAATAATTTTTTACAATTTTAGGAAAGGATTATCCCAACAGCAATGTCTCGCTGAATAGTTTCTGTGACCAGTCAACTATTTTCCGCTGGTATTGCGAATTTCAACGTGGTAGCTCCAGTCTCAGCGACGAATCCAGGCCAGGTCTACCCAAAACAGCAGTCACACAGCAAAACATTGATTCTTCAGCTAATTAAGGACCGTCGTGTAACATACCGGGAGATAGAGGCATCTTTGGGCATTTCAAAGGATTCAATCCAAAAGATGAGGATCCCTCATTTGCTCACAGAAGAGCAAAAAGCTTGGTTCGCGTCCGTTGGTTTCGAAAATAATCGGAACGGTACAACAAAGGAAGCTCAAAAAACCAACAAAAGTGATCATTGTCGAAGTGTGTCAAAGTAAATGGTCGCAAATTGTGTGTCAAAGTAAATGGTAGCAAATTGTGTGTCAAAATCTCTCATTAATTACTATTTAACTGGAATTCTTCTTCTTAAGGTGCCGTGCATTTCTGCGTAGGCGTCCACCGTACATCGTCTTGTCAGGTGATATGTTAAATATTCTGGTTTAAATAATTCTGTTTTTAGCAGCATTGCGAAGCATTTCATAGCTGTAGATTCCTGTCCATTGTCGAATATTGCGCAGCCATGACATTTTTTACGTCCGAGACCTCTCCTACCCTCTATTTTCCCTTCGAGTATCAGTTGCTGAAAAGTGTATCGTTCTCCTCGTAGAATGTGCCCCAAGTATGCAGTCTTCTTACTTTTTACATAATTAAAAAGTTTTCCTATCCTGTAAGCCCGATCTTCTGAGTACTTCCTCATTTCTGACCCTGTCCGTCCATGATATTCTGAGCATTCGACGCAGGCACCACATTTCAAAAACTTCAAGTTTGTTAATGGAACTGGCCTTTAACGTCCATGCTTCCATTCCGTACAGGAGAACAGGCCACACGTAACACTTAAGCATTTTGTATCGGAGGTTGAAGTCCAATTTGCGATCAGTCAGAAACTTACGAAGCCTCAAAAAAGCATTTCTGGCTTGTTCAACTCTGCTCTTTATTTCATTCTCGGGGTCCCAACCCTCATTCAGCAAACATCCCAAGTATTTGAATTGCCTGACTTGTTCGATTTCTTCTCCAGAGACATATATCTTTGCGTTGGGGTAATCATTTCTACTTATAATCATTGATTTTGTCTTCTTGATATTTATTTTCAAAGCCCGAGCTTCACTTGCAAGAGTTAGATCATTTAAAAGGCATTGAAGATCTTCGATGTTATCTGCCACTATGGCTGTATCAATCGGCATACCTGATGTTATTAATAAATATGCCGTTAACTTTAATACCCTTATTAGAGTCTTCCACTGCTTCTGCGAAGGCTTTTTCTACGTATAAATTGAACAGCATTGGGGACAGTATACAACCTTGCCTTACTCCTTTTTTAATGGAGAAATCTTCTGTTTCGTTGAAATTTTGAAGACGTACTGTTGCTGTCTGATTCCAATACAGATTGGCGATGATTCTTATATCCTTGGCATCCAATCCAAACTCTTGTAGGTATTTTATTATCAATTCATGTTTTACATTATCGAATGCTTTCTCGTAATCGATGAAACAGATAAAAACATCCTTTCTTTGATCTAAACAATTCTGTATCAATGTTTGCATACTAAAGATCGCTTCTCTCGTGCCAAGTCCATTTTTGAAACCAAACTGACTCCATCCACTGACCTCTTCACATTTCTTAAACAATCTAGTGTGAAGTATTCTCAGGAAAAGTTTTAAAAAGTGACTCATTAGGCTTATTAGTCGGTGGTCCTTGCAGAAGTTCGCACGTGGTGTTTTTGGTAGGGCAATAAATGTAGATCGAAGCCAATCTTTTGGAATCTGGCCCGTATCGTAGATGTCGTTAAAGAGCTTGACAATAATGTCTAGGTTTTCTTCATTAAGTAACTTGATTGTTTCTGCGTACATATCATCTGGTCCTGGGGTTTTGTTACTTTTTAATAGTTTGATAGCGTGTATATTTCAGCTTTCAAAATACTTGGGCCATACAAATGGTCTCCCAGTTGTGGTGGTTTTTGTGTTCTGTCATCATTGAACAAATTGGCTGTGTACATTTTCCAAGTATTAAGTATAACGCTAGGGTCCGTTATTAATTCATTTTGGTCATTATGTATACCAGTGACTTGTTTTTTTCTTGAAGACACCAGCAATTTCCTTAATTTTCTTGTGAAGATTGAAGCTGTCGCCAAGTTTATATAGGCTTTCAGCCTCGGCGTAAAGTGTAGTCATCCAGATCTCCTTCGCCGCTATAATTTCTTTACGGAATAAGCCACAATTAAAGATAAAAATACGTTTATTGACGTTTCAATTTCCACTTCGGAAATCGTTCTCTGAAAATTTTCTTCGAAAAATGAGAACGATCGAAGAACAGTTATTTCTGATTGGTATATAAACCGTTTGTTTAACAGAAGTTATCGTGAAACTCCGACAAAGCAACACTCAACGGCGAATCATCCTACATAAGAACAATGCAAGTGCTCATACTGCCACATACTCATACTACTTGTCAAAAGACAATAGAGTTTTTGGAGCTTCAAAACATCGAATTGTTAAACCAACCACCATATAGCCCCGATCTAAGTCCCAATGACTTCTTCACGTTCCTAAAGATCAAGAATTCAATGCGTGGTAGGCAGCGATTTTGCAAGTTTCAACTAAAGACTGGAAAAACTGTTTTATCAATTGGTTTGAACGTATACAAAAGTGTATCGATCTTGGTGGGACATATTTTGAAAAGCAATAAAGAAGCACTTTACTTCTATATATTTTTTGTCTTTATACTATATGCAAAAGTAAAAAACCTTCTTATCATTTTGGGCAATAATATTTTTATTATTATTACTATTATTTGTATTTACGCAAATAATTATTTGCTTTTAAATCCTATTTTTTAAACTGCTAACAAATAGTGTTGATACTTTTTTAAGGAAATTATTTGGGAATAATATATAAAAAATTAAGATAGAAACGATATGAGCTAAAGCTCGGGAGTATATACGAAGATTTGTGGTAATATTCCCAAAAGTATACATAGGTCAGACAGGACGAAAAAAAGGAATAACGAAACACAAAACCAGTTTTGTGAACTGTAAAATTAATTCAGCTTATGTCAACTATTTGACTACTGAGTTTCATCAATAAATAAGTTATGTTGAAGTTGAAATTTGCAGAGCGATTCATGGATGGAGCAATCAAAATGAATGCGTTGATTAGATGTACATATTGTAAGTGCATATTATGATCAGGCAGATGGTAGGTTACCACAAAAATAAAAAACAAACGCAACAACTGGAGGGAGAAAACAAATGAAGAAGTCTTAAAATCCCAAAACTTACGGTTGATCTGCACCCCCAAAAGACAAACTACACATTCAAAACATTTGAAAAAATTTGAGAAGGTATATGTGATAACTAGAAGTATTTTGACCAATTTTGAGCAAACTTCATGTTTTCGTTTTCGAAAAAACTTTAAAAAAGCTACTTTTTTCCAATTTTAAAGCGGAAAAACCAACCATAAAATTTTAGATACACTCTAAAAATTATCTTGAATTGAATAGGTAAAGATAAGATAAACAATAAAGAGAAGTTTGGTAGATGATTTATAAAGGACATCTATTCGAAATTGTAAACAATATACATTTTTCTATTAACTAACATAAGTGGGTAAACTGACCTGACGTCTAAAAGTTTCGGATGTGCACATATTCTTAGGGTTTTCGAATTGGAACCCACGGCGTACAGTTGTCCTCCCGGATGGAATTCGGCACATCTTACAGCTTGGACGTCTTCCAATGTGGTCACGGCAACGAATTTAGGCCTCTGGCTTTCAATGCCGTTGTCTTGGTCTTGTCTTGGGGAACCGTGAGGAGGAGTATGAGGTACAGGCTAAAAATAATATAAACATATTAGAAAAAAAATTATACTGCTACGTTCTATGGATCGACGTGTTGTTCCTTTAATATTTTAATGTACTATGATATAATTTCAACAATTACTATTATGTATATGTGTAGATATATTAAATTTTTATATATGTACTCTAAGGTAAGCGTTAATACTTTGGGAGAAAAGTATATTCTGGAATGTTTATGCTACTTTTTGTAACACACCTCAAACCATTGCTGGATATATGCTTCTTCCAGCTTTTTATGCTTTTATGTGGTCGATAACTTTCGCCCAGTTTATTTTTAACTATTTTCCGAATATCATACATGAATCTTAGAAGGAGTCTTCTGAAAAGTATATTTGTTACAAGTAATTTTTATTTTATCACTTAATTTTCCACCTACCGATGTTCTGCCTGAGTACATGGCCTTCCCATCTGCAGTTACGACAATCAATTCGTTCTATCACATAATGACTTTTGTTCTGTTTTTAATGTTCGAGTTTTTTGTTCTGTGTCTCTAAGATATTCCTAACATTGGTCGATCTATTGATCACTGAGTTATCCTCAATTTCTATGCTAAGAGTATGGTAACGACATAACGTACCTCCAACGGATTACGTTGGAACAACAATTCTCAAAAGGATAACTCCAGAATAGTCACAATTCTCAGAAAGATGACTCTAGCATTTACTATTGCCGGCGTCAGCGGTAGTGGCCCTTTGCTTCGAGAACAAAGAATAGAGATGGACTGATCAAGAAGATTCTCGAGATATTCAGTATATGAACAGAACGCCATTATGAGAGAGTTAGTTATGGGAGGAAGAAAGCACAATTAAAAGAGTCAAAAAGAAAGCAAAGTGGACAAACTTCAAAAGAGTGGCGAGCACTGGAATAAATATAGTCCCAGTGATAGAAAACCCACAAGACATAGAGGATACAGTCCTAGAGTTAGAAAACATCATCCAGCAAGTACTCAGCAACAGCACTACAGAAGAGGAAGTATAGATACACACGGGAAGATTCAAAGACATACCACAAGAAATAAAAGATTTGATAAGGAAAAAGAACAGAGCAAAGCAGACAGCAAGAAGGACAAGGAACCAGGTGGACAAAAATAGAGTAGACTAAACAGAAAGATCAAAAAACCACTAGAACAACACTGTAGTGAAAGCTGGGAAAATCACATTCGAGACGTGGAAGAACAAGGCCCAAATATGCAAAATATTTAAAGGCTAAAAAGAATAATCACAAAGGATAGAAAATTACTTCCTTCATTACACGGTAAAAATGGAATTGTATACACCACTGAGGAAAACGCACAGGTGATGAGGAATACTCTCTCGAGAGAGTGTATACTAAATTACCACCCAGATGAGGACATCGACTTCATAATTCCCAAACAATGGAAAGATGCCCATGCCATAAAGTTACCAACCAGGAAAATACAGCACATTCCCGCAAAATTACAGGCAAATAAGCTTACTACCTGCAATCAGTAAGATTGTAGAGGGAGTCATACTCAGCAGACTCCAAGCCGAAACAGACATACTGGACAGTATACTAGAAGTACAATTCGGCTTCAGATCAGAGCACTCCAGCGAGCTACAAGTACTCAGATTAACAGAGTACATAGCAGCTGGATTTAACGATAAGTAAAATACAGGAGCTGCCTTCCTAGACGTAAACAAAGCTTTTGGCAGAGTTTGGCATAAAGGATTAATTTGTAAAATGAGATAATACGGTTACAGCGACTCAATGACGAGAATAATCTCTTGGTATTTGAGCAACCGTAGTTTCAGAGTATATAAGTCCTGTCCGAACTCGTGAACTTGGAGGTTGGAGTACTACAAAGAGCTGTCTTGTCACCTCTGCTATACACAATATACATAGCCGATGTACCTAGCACACCAGGAACTTTATTAAGTCTATATGCCAATTACATAGCGATAGCGGCCAAACACAAAAACGTAGATATTGATACCAACAACCAGAGGAACAGGTAACAGTGCAAAACAACCCCATCGAGTGCAAATGAGGGGCAAAATATATAGGAATAATCATGGATAAAGGCTTAAACTTTAATAAACACGTAGATGCCACAATACAAAAAGCCAACATAGCAAAAGCGTCAATAAAAGGACTAGCAAGAAGAAAAATCAGACTGTGATTGAAAACAAAAATAAGATTAATAAATAGCATAATTCTTCCTATACTAACATATGCATCTTTCGCATGGAGACATATATGCAATACAACAAAAAAGAAAATACAAGCAGCACATAACACCTTCCTAAGAGAAGTAGGTAGAAGGAGAATATCATGGCTGTTGAATTTAAGAACATGGTTTAAGAAAACATCAACGGAGCTGTTTCGAGCCGCAGCGAGCAAGGTTATGATTGCCAATATGATTTCCAACATCCGAAACGGATATGAACCAGAAGAAGAAGAGAAGCAGCCAACGTATCGAGATATTTTGCAGAAAGATTCCTATTCACAGAACTACAGCCAATTAGAGTGACTGATTAGAGTGATTAAATTATGAAAGAAAAGGCGAGGACAAAGTTCGCGGAACTAGAGAACCATCCAAGTCACATAATGCGAGAGATCATGAGGTACGACGCTTTCCAGCTATGGAAGCTCAAAAGACCTAAACGACAGATAGAGGAATAAAATTAAATAAAACCAGAGAGAAAACCAATAAAAATACCAGAGATAAAATAAAAATTACCGAAGAGAAAATATTAAAAAACAATACAACACATAAAACGGATAGTTCGTAGCTCTATAAAATCGTAGACAAACGCCCAAAAGTACAGTGTAGGCCCAGGTAAATTGATAATTATCAAATTTAAACCCAGGCAAGTAGGACCCAACCCCTTGAGCACCAAGTCTCGTAAACAGGAATAAAACGACAAACACTGTTGTTCAGCGGTCAAGAGTGCAAGAGCTGTCCCTGTGCGGAAACCAGGCGCCTTTTACGCATGCATCGACCAAGCGGCAACGAACACACCACGCGATGCTGTCGAACAGAACTAAGACATTTTTGTTTTGTTAATTTTCCGTTTTTATAAAAGCATTATAATAAAAGTGTCAAAATTAAAATAAATATTTTTTATAAAAAGAATACAGTCCACAATACTTCTGAAGGCTCAGAAATAAAACTTTATTCATGTGGTCCTTCTAGCCGGATAAAAGCATTATAATAAAAGTGTCAAAATTAAAATAAATATTTTTTATAAAAAGAATACAGTCCACAATACTTCTGAAGGCTCAGAAATAAAACTTTATTTAACTGTCCTGAATTTGAATCGGTTAGGGAACCCATGAAGAGCATTTGGCTGATAGTTGTGCCCCTATCGCGCATCAGAGTGCTGTAGGGGAAAAGGGATGGTCTGGAACATTGGAGCGGGGTAGATTGACTCCTGTTTTACTTCTTGAGTTAATACACCTTGCTCCAATGGATTGTTACACCCGAACATAATTCTTAGGGGTGAACATGTCTCACAGGTTGGGTTTAAGTAAATTGCTTGCTTGCTTGTAGAGAGTTAGTTGTAGAGGATAATTCCAGTAATGGATAATTCCACTAACGGTGCATCCACTCGCGGCGATCTGTACTTTAGTTATAGACAGGAGCGAGTAGGTGGTTAACTTCAAATTGGAGTCCAGATTAGACGAAATAATATAGTGGCAGGTTTTTTAGAAGTGAGAACAGAACAAAGAAGAATGGAATTCTAATGGGAATTTTAAAAGGCCTACAAATTTGATGGTGTCACCACATCACTATGAGGGATCAGGGCTGAGGACGAGGATATCTAGTTATCATAATTGTATATTTGTAATTATAAACCATAGGACAAATAAATAATACAATGATTTTTTGAAAATTCTACAGTTTATTCAGAATATTCATCCATACATTTGATCATCCTTCTGTTCAATTTAAAGCATTTTTTATAGCATTCATTAAAATCTTTTTTCTTTTCTATTTCATTAAAATACATTACATTGGTTGATTATTAGCGTCATACTTAAAAACAGATGACAGTCAATTCTACCGACTTCGATTTCTTAATATAAACTTTCTTGTGGCGTATGTCACATACACACAATATCCGAGAACTATAAATTTTATTTATATTATTTAAATTGATGTTATGTCGTCGCATTATAATAATTTCATTTCTAGAATTATTATATATTTCCTTAATGCTCGATGACTATAATTGGTCTTATTAATACTCAATAAAATTTATTTCACTTTCACTTCCATTTCTTAGATATTATTATAAAATTAATTATTAGTTCCAGAGACAGATGAATTGAAATGAAATTAATTTAATTTTAGCTTTCATCTTTTATTGTTATATCAATTATACCGAATCTCAGTTTTTTTGGAGATAACTTTATTGAACTTTTTATTTAATTAATTTTATGCAAAAGTTGCAATCCTACTTGAAGACATATTTTCCTTGACTTAAAACGTGATGGGATATGTAAGAGTGCTTACGGGTTTGGTTAGATGAAGTAGCTACAAACGAATGTTAATAGATGTGGAGCATCGATGGATATTATGTGAAAATGGTGGAGAATGTTGTGAATTCGAGTCTAGCGAATGAGATGTGTGCATCAGAACAGATAGTGAATAGATAAGGGGAATAATGTAGCAATGAGACTGCTCTCTAGTCCAAAATCACTTCTTAGGGGCGGTCAACGATTAGGTTTTGTGTGTATATATCATAGATGTGACAATGACGTTCATGGGGAAGATCAGAAAAACTCAGAGAGCTATGGAACGGCAGATGTTGGGTATCTCACTCAAAGACCATAAAACCAATGAAGACATTCGTATTACAACAAAAGAAAAAGATGCTGTCGAACAGGCAGCCAATGGAAATGGGCTGGACATAACGAACGTCTTAAGGATGGCCGATGGAATAAAGAAATCGGGAATTGGCGGCCATATGAAGCCAAAAGACCACGAGGAATACCGCAAATGCGT